ATCGATACAATTGAGATCATTTATTGGCCAGGCTGCTTCGACCCTGTCTGTTACTGTCAGCCTGGACTGAGCGGGATACAAACTCCTAGCAGATAGATAGGCAGACACACCTGTGCTGTACTCCACTACAAACCTCCCCATTCGGGAACCGAACTCACGTCTTTTGAGTGCGATGGTCAAGTGCCTACGCTCTGACGCCTGTGAGAACTTTTGTTAAGCTTCTAAAGAGTGGAGCAGGTTCGGACTGCAACAACAACAAACAAAAAAACAACCCCAAAACAAAACAAAAACAAAAACAAAAAAAACCAACACTGAACAAAACTTTTACAAATGGAAAGAAAGGGGGGAAAACTGGTTCTCAAATTAGAAAGTTGTGTAGATATCTGGAAGAAACAGCACACTCGGCCGGGTCTTCAACAGGCCACCCAAAAGAGAGTGTGAAAAGTCACAGGAGAGAAAAACTCGGGAATGCAAGACGGGGAAAACCCACCACAATTCACCAGCCTAGCACCCAAGACGAGGGCTCGACCTTTTGGTCTCCGAAAAAAGAAGGCTTGACGCATTTTTGATTCTGTCTGGCGCAAACTGGCCAAAACACTGATACAACAGATTTCTTCCAATTAAAAGTATAATGTCAAATCAAAGGATCTGGTGCTCTCTGTAATGTTTAGTTTTAGTGAGTGAGAGTTTTACAGCGCTTGCAACACAATAAGGTCATATAAGGGCCGAAGATTAGAGCTGTTACAAGAGAGTAACAAACACAAAAAAAAAGAAGGAAGGGGGGTACAGACGATAGAATGTTTGATAGGGAAGAAGGAACAAACCACACCAGATTACCACCAACCCTTCCACTGTTTGTAAAGTGTCAATACAATTTTCCCCAGATGAAAGTCCACAAGGGGTGGGTTCCAAAACTTTCAATTTCCCTCAGAAAAAATTTGGAAGTAAAGCGATGGAATCCGACATTATTTTTCAGAACCGTTCAGCATGGGTGAAATTAAGACCGTCACCATCACGTGAAACTGGTTAGGTGGCATCTTTCCTTGCGAGAGGATGTTAGACAATCTTAGTTTAGTTTTAGTAAGTGTTTTACGGCACTGGCAACACAAAAAGGTCATATAGGTGCTGAAGATTAGAGGTGTTCCAAGAGAGTAACAAACACAAAAAAGGAGGGGGGATAAAGACGATAGATGTTTGATAGGAAAGAAGAAGCAAACCACACCAGAGCACACGCGAACCACACACATAGACAATATGAACTCCTCTATAAATATAATGTAATTTTTTTAAAATTTATAATAATCAATCCACTTCTATGATATTTCAGGGCAAATCCTGCTATATTACAGCACGAGTTTCACATTCGTTTTTAGTAAGACTTTTCCGGCACTTGCAGCACAATCAGGTCGTATAAGTGCCAAAGATTAGAGGTGTTACTGAAGTGGACCACCTCGACTCGACGCTCAACGACAACAGTGGATGAAAAAGTAATTATAAAAAGAAAAAAGTACTAAAGTGGAACATACGAACAAAAGAAGAAGAGAGAAGAGAACGACAGAAGTATGATAAGAAAGAAGGAGCAAAGCATACCAAAAGCACCCACCCACCCGCCCATCAACCACCACCAACGGAGATTCACTACCACCATGACATGTTCAAGTAATGTAGAGAACATGGGAAAGAATTTAAAAGGAGAAAAATTGCATTCTTGTACAAACTGTTTATAACAGACAAACTTCCCAGACAGCCAAGTTCACACGCTCTTCCCAACACAACTAGCCGAGTGAGATTATCTCTGTAGATGGAGCCTTCACACAGGCAACACAAGACCTCCATTCTTCACATATAAAACGAGAGTTTTCTGCAACAAGAAGCTTTATGTTTCCTCTCTCCCTCTCTCTCGATATTTCATTGAGTGTACATTTTGTTTTGTTTTTAATCTTCCCCTTTCTCTCCTCTTGAAAAAGAGCTCAGTCTAAACAAACCCAGTTGAAAAATAAAATAAAGATATTTTGTTGACAAAAACGAAACAGCAAAAGTGTCTCAGATTTCAATAAAGATTATAGACAGCTGACATAGCAAAGTGTACATGGCGAAGAAAAAAACACTAGGTCTTCCTCATTTTTTTTCACACGTTAAAGCAATTCCCTATTCAGGAAAATTCACATGCACCGGGAATAGACGATTAAAATAATATAATATATTTTAAAAAAGATCGGTATGTTAGAATTAAAGGGAAACACACACCAACTTCAGATCATGTTGGAAAGAAGCAAAACAGACAGAAGCAGTGGCGGCCACAAACAAATGAGGGGTGAAGGGAGGGAGTGGGAGATGGAAAG